TGTCCTTGGGAGGACTTTTCTTTCCTCTTCTTCGATGAGTAACTAAGATCCATCCTTCATTGTCTGGCTCTCCACTTATAGAACCACAAGCTTTGCCCCCATTATCTTTAGGGTTGGATGTCTTCTTTATGTTTGATACCAACATTATATAGTCGAAGGATTCAAACTTTATCTTACTTCACACATTAACAGGAGAAAACATGCTAGTTGCTGATACTACATTTATTGTAGTCGTTTCTTCTTCAAACTCAATTTTCCCATCTTGGTATAAACCCATGATTTTGTCTTTTAAGACAAAACATTTTTCTATAGGGTGACCAATTAAACGATGGTACTTGTAGTAGTTGGGTTCATTTACTCGATCAGCTTCTTTCGATCGCTTCATCTCTAGCAATTGAATAAGCTTAGCTTTCAGAAGTTCTTCCAACATTTCTGCAATATCTGAGTCAGGGAAAGGATACTTTTTCTCTTATCTTTCTTTCAAAGACACTTTCTTCTTATCCTGTGGGGAATCAAGCTTCATTTCTTAGGTTTTCTTTGAATTGGTAGCCACCTTGATGGGTTTGGTATTTACAGTCATAGACTGTTTTCCTTCACCCTTATCTGCCAAAGCTTTGCCCCCTTTACGGACATCTTTCTTACCGTTCCTTGGTTCTTGCACTGGAGGTCCCTGATTTCCAGTCGCTGACATGCTTAAATCCATGTCTTGAGCGCGAGTAGCTAATTCTTCAAAAGTTTTAGGCTTAATACTTTAAAGAATATAGCATAACCCCCAATTCATCCCTTAGTTGCACATGTCAAGAGCTGAGGATTCGGATAATCGCTCTTTGCAATTAAGACTGAGATTTCTCCACTTATGGATATAATCAATCACAGGCTCATTTTTCATTGGTGCGAACTCGTGAGTTCAATCATGCTCACCACACGTCGAATGCTATAGAAGCGATTAAGGAACTCACGTTCTAGTTGCTCTCAATTATCAATCATCCTAGGCTCTAAGTCTGTATACCAATCAAAAGCATTGCCCTTTAAAGAGCGAACAAAATGCTTCACCATAAGATCACCATAGGTGCCAGCATTGTTACAAGTTTTTATGAAGTGTGCAACATGCTGACAAGGATTTCCTTTACCATCAAACTATTGGAACTTTGATGGTTGATAATTTGGCGGCATCCTCATGCGATCTATCCTTTAAGAGTATGGCTTTGCATATGTGTACGAATGTTGAGTGACACTTTCCACTTGTTCCTTGATGGCTTCTTTGATGAGTTCCTTTAATTGATTGGTGGTGACCGCTTCATTAGATTTTTGTTGAAGATTATTTTCCACTTCCGTAGTGGAATTCTCCTTATTATCTTGGTGTTGATTTTGACCAAGATCCGTTGGTGCCTTTCCAGTAAGGCTACTAATTTTTGCCATCATTGAGGTAATTTGTTCATCTTTTTTTCTGATGCTTGTTGTCAGAGATTCCACAGTCTTCGCAAGAAATGTAACTTGTTCTTCTAGAGATGCTGTTTCAGTTGTCATGACAACCATCATTCCAAAGTCTACTTTTGACGAAGAACCTTGTCGAGCGGATGATGAAATAGAGCTACTGTTTGAGTAGCCATCATGTTCCTTGAGTTGATTGGTACTTGATCCTTTGGAGGAAACAAGTTGCATAGTAAAGACTTCTTCAAAACTTAGGAAAGAAACATCATACAAAGGATTTTGGTTGAGGATTAGGAGAGTTTGCTCATACAATTTAGTAAGAGCCTCTGTCTTTCTCCGAGTACCATATGGATGTGTTGGAACATCTGTTCTTGATGATGAAGTAAGAAAAACTGTAGGATTCGCTTTAGCAGGTTTAATAGCAACTTTATTGACGAGATTCTTCTTAGGAGCCATTTCGACTTGGAGATATTTAGAGATTTGTTTGAAGAAAGAAGATGAGAGGCAAAGATTGTCCCATTGAGCATGCCAGAAATTTGTACACACAAATTTTTCATCAAAATTTATTGGCTTGAAAATTATGAGACAAATACAAATATTTGATGATGTGAGTGATAATCTTTAAAAATTTCTCTGATTAATTTTTTCACTTCGTTTTCAAGAGTCACGAACTTGACTTTGTCTTAATCACGAACTTCGTTATCGCTTGATCACAAACTTCACCGTCGCTTGATCACAAACTTCGCCGTCGCTTGATATTCACTCCAAAAATCTCATATTCTTCTTGATCTCTGAAATGCTCTCAATCTTCGAATGCTTCTCAATTTTCGAATGCTTCCGAATGAATCAAGATGGCTTGGAGGAGCCCCCTATTTATAATGCTAAGTGGGAGACTTTGATGAGAATGAAATCTCTTTGAATTATCTCTAAATTATTTTAATTTATTTAGAGATAAATTATGATAACTCATTGAAAGTTTTTTGATTGGCCGGACTTTGAGTCCTTGAATTTTGATTGGCCAAAGTTAGGTGTTATCTCTAAATTATCTTAATTTATTTAGAGATAAATTAAATAATCCAATATGATTTTTATCTTTAAATTAATATAATTATTAGAGCTAATTTAAATGACCAATAATTAAATTTTGATTGCTCAAAATATGAAGATTATTTTTAAATTATTTTAGTTTATTTAGAGATAAATTGGATGACCAATAACTAATTTTTTGATTGGTTAAAATATAAATATTATCTCCAAATTATTTTGGTTTATTTAGAGATAAATTGGATGACCAATAACTAATTTTTGATTGGTCCAATTTAAATATTATCTTAAGAGATTAATATATACCAATAAGTGAATTGGTTCAATTATGTCTTTAAATAATCTAACCAATAAATTAATTATTTTATAATTAATTACATAATTAAAATATTATTAAATTCACATGACTGCACGTAATTAATTGATAATTTTTCCCTTCTACAATCCAACAATAATGTCGGTGGGCGACATTTTAAGGAAAATAATAGTATCCGTATACGATAATATTAAAATTATCAACAAATTAACTCGATAATATTATTCATGGGATATAGCATACGTAATAGGTAATAGGTTTGTTGTTAAATATATAGGTAGGCAGAAACATGTGTGAGCTTGGTTTAGGACCTAGGAGGTGAGAATGACATTAATTCTCCTCAAGTATAATGCCAATTCCCTAGGTACCCAAAATTCTCTTCCAATTGGTTCGCCTCAAAACAAAACAAATTTATGAGTCCTTGATTAAGAAGGAAGCCCCACCATCAAGTAATCCATGTGTCAAGGTTGTCTCCTACTCTTTGCTTTTGCCCATACAGAAATTATGGTGAGGCATCCCATGTGCATGCTAGCTAGCAATAACATTTTCTGATTCTTGTGTCAATGATATAATTATCAAGATGAAACCCCTCTCTCATATTCTATAGATAATAGTCTTCTCTTCAAACTCGTAACTGAAGTAGTAAGTGAATGTGAATACATATATACATATATACATATATATATATATATATATACACGTTTGTTTGTTGGTCTATAAAGCAAGTTGGAATATATCATGAACCAAACATCATTTTTTGTCCTTATTGTAGCAGTTAACTGCCAACAGCATGGCCCTGGAGATTTGAGAATATTGCAATAATACAAAGCCAAGCCAACGGACTTTTGATAATAATTTAAATATGTTCATTTATATTTATATATACATGTAGTGTAGAATGTAAGTGAAAAATGAAAAATACATTCTTGTCAAGTGGACCAAAGTTTATTTTCATGAGATTTGTTTGATGGTAAAGTTAATTAAAGGATGCAGAGAAGAGCATCTGACAGACGGCGTTATTGGAGAGTACAGTTGTAAGTAAGTACAGAAGATGGTTAGCGGCGCCAGCGAAGCCACGTGAGAATGCTTCACAAATACAGATCAGATCATTCAACATTAATCCAATCCAACATCAACTCAACATTCCTACTGGCGAGGGAGGCCCTACGGGTGATATTTGCCACCTCTGATTGAGGTGACTGCCAGCTGACAACTCCCTGTCTCATAAGTTTTTGCCCTGTTGGACGGTCCTAGCCCTGCATGCCCCTGGGAACCTGGTGGTATGTTTGGTAATTCAGTTGCCAAGGCCATCCACATGAATAAGCTAATGATGTGCCAATTTGCCAATTGCTCAGCTCCGCTCTTTAATTCGGGACACTTGTGCTCGCATTCAGGTGAGGTCCACAAATTGAGAGCTCTTGAAAACTTTTAAACTCTTATGCTAGTTTAGTTTTGAGCAAAATTAGAGCAAGAAAATCAACCCAGTTTTGATGCTAGTACTCGTATGTATATTTAATTTGTTTCTTCTTCCTGTCGCAGACTAGCTAGGGTACTAATTACTTACCTTGTCATTTTTAGTTAGTATTAATATTATATATATATGCGCTTTTATCTTAATTTGAAATATATAGATATATATAACATGGAATTTTGCGTTCTTTGTTTTTGTTAGATTTGTTTGAGGGACTATCATGTAGTTGACCAATTGTATGTAAGACACATGGGGAATTGGAAATCTAAGGTTCTTCCGAAGATCAAAAAGGTTTTTGAGAAAAACGGTACGAAGAAGGCTGCTGTCGAGGCTTGCAAGTCCTTTGATGATTCGAAGGTTTTGAGTTACTACTTCACATAAAATACAATTACTCACTCCTAGTCCTACTACTATCTCTATTTATTACATTTTGCATTTCCAGAAAAAGGGTTTTTGAACTTGTCATATTTCTTTTTAGGAGGAGATCAGTAAGGAATTTGAAGCCAAAAAGGCTGTGCTTCAACCTAAAATAGTTGAAATGTACGAAGCTTCACCTGCTGAAATTAAGGTGGTCAGCTTCTCTTTGATTAATTATTAATTATTTTGGATTACCCTGTCTCATTTTAATTGAGCGTTTACTATATTATTTTGTGGTTTGTTTTCCCAACATACCACTGTTAAGGACCCCAAAGGGGCAGGATTATAGAAGCACTCCGCTGATGTTCACAAGTTCCTTGAAGAGCTCACCAAAATCGGTAAGTAATAATTATTCTCATAAATAAAATCTTAGTAGTAGTAGTAGTAGTAGTAGTTATAATTTCTGACCCAAGTTAAACGAAAAATGAAAATATACTACGCTGTTGGTTAACTTGACAGAGTTTCCGGGTTCGAAAGCAGTGTGCGAAGCATCGTCAAAGTATGGGGCAGCCTTGGTACAAGGACCAGTGATGTTTATCTTGGAGAAAGTCTCAACCTTGATTGTGGTACAAGCGCCAGCAGCTCAGGAAGAAACGAGCGGCAAAGAGAAGGAGATAGCAGTGGAAGAAGAGAAGAAAGAAGAGGTTGTCTTGGTTGAAGAAAAAGCTCAAGTGGCGGAGCCTGCCAAGGTGGAGGAAGCAGGTGAACCACCCAAGGCCCAGACGGCAGTAAATTAAGCATTGGTGTTACATCTTAATTTATATAAACAACATTGATTGGATATTCTTTGCAATTTCTCTGGAATTGTTTCGAGTGAAGCTAGCTCTCATGTGTCCTGTGTAATAGTATTTAATTTTTTTTTAATTTTGGAATTACAGGGTATAGTGTGGCAAGTGATTGGGGGAGGAACTATATATTTGTATTTGATATTTGACAATTGATATGCTAGTTTCTTTTTTTAATATCGATTGTAAAAAAGGGGAAAAAATGATTACATAAATCTCTGTTACCACATTAATTAAGCCCACCGAACCATTCAATTATATTAGGAATATCTCTTACCATTTGTTATGAGTTATGTATTTCCTCACTTTTGCTATTGGTTTCAATACTCTCTCTTCCAAATATAGAGCCTTAAAAGATAAAATTAGTCTAGATAAGACAGGGGGTTGGTTATACATAAATTTTATTTGAAAATTTGAATAAACAAATACCTATATATAAATTACCTTATCCAAGTTTGGCTCTTCTAATTGAGAAAACAAGTGGAAATACTAAAAGCAAGTGGTGTCCAAAATAAAAGTCCAATGGGCTGTATTACAGACTAAAGCCCAAGCTGGAAGCAACGGGGTTTCCCCTCCTTCCTTCTCTTGCTCAATCCGACTATTGCGCCTCTGCCCACAACATGATGTCTCTCATCAGTTTCTGCCTCTGTAACTGCCGGTACGCTAACCAGCTATTCTCGCAAAATTTTTAAAGGTTTGATCTTTACCCTTTCTCTCTCTCTCTCTCTCTCTCTCTCTCTCAAAGAATGTTTACTTAACATCCATGCAAAATCTGGCTCAATTACGATGTAATTTTGCTCCTTGTCTTCTTAATTTGCCGTTGACTAAAGTTTTTCTTTTTGCAATTTATACATTATAGCTAGCAATTCATGCCAAGTGGAATCCCAGATGGAAGCAATAAAGGCTCAAGGTATTGGTTCAGAATCACAAGTGGAGGATTTGGGGCGATGCGTTGATGAAATTTCCACCACTGTCAATCAGGTGACTGTTTCCTAATTCAAAGTGAAAACAAGTGAAACAAACCCATGACTACTTTTGGTCACAAGGTTTCTTTTCTCAAAATTCTCTAATTTGTGCTCATCTTTTGGCTGGGTCCTTTATTCATCATCCACGTAACCTTGGTTATCATATAACAACTACGCAATTACAAGTCTTTTAGAGTTCATTCCGCTGCTTGGTCTTTCAAGGATTGCGACTGCATGTATATATCTACATAAGAAGCACCAAAGATGAAGCTGCACTAACTAGCACAGAATTCCAAAAAACCCCCATACAGGGATCCTATACAATTGCACACGATGAATTATTATTATTATTTTTGGCATTTAGATGCTTAGATTTTTAAATCCAGTAATCAAATGTAAGTTAATGTCAAATTCGAAAGCTGGGAGCTAGTATCTGATTTGCATTAAAGTATAACATTTGGATGATAATTTGGTATGTATCCATTCCCCTCTGCTATTGTGGCTGCTCATTTGTTCCCATCGAGTCTTCCTGCATTTTCCGGCTTCCACATACACTTGCTTCTTTATGTTATTGATCAAAACTATATTCAACTTGCAGCTTGAGCAAAGAGTCAATGATGTTGAACAGTTCTACATGACTACAGACAACACGCAGCTGACTACTACCAAATATAGTTCTGTTTTTAAGGACAAAGTCAAGGAAAAGCAGCTTACTAACATTGAGAAGCAGCAGCAAGAAGCATCACATAGAGAGGCAGCTGCTGTGAAGAGAATGCAGGATCTTATGCGTCAATTTGCCACAATTTTACGTCAGGTAAGCATGAATAATTTGAATTTTCTTTGGAGTTATTGATCGTGTGGTCAGTCTCCACCTTCTAATTTCAAAACCTACGTCTTCCTCTAGGTCTCATTCTCCTAGTTTTCAATTCCGTTCATGTGAAATATTTATTTAGTTTTTCTGATTAAGGCTTATCAATTCTTACCTAGATAAAGGCAAAGAAAGCTAGCTTGTTATTTGAAAATTTTCAAAGATTGTTAGTAGATGTTGTCTTGAGATGTTCTAATCAGGGATCTGTCACATTTGAATTATAGCTGCTGAAATCTTATTTAGCTGGTATATAAACTTCTATCACAGATGGATCACATGACATTTTTCTAGGAACTTTTGCCCTTTAAGTTGGTAGAGTATGCTAGAGCTTGATTCTTCCGCATTTTTCTCTCTTCATTCTCTCTTTTCTTAATAAATTTTGTGCTTTTAGGGGAAAAATCGTTGCCTCTACTTCTTATGTTGTGTTATTTGAATAGTTATCATTATCGACTCACACAAAATTTGTCCTCATACTAAACTCTATACGCTAGCAATTATCTCTCTCTCCTATTTCTCCTAGGTGGAGCTGTGCTTTGAGTTGCTGGTAAACAAGACAGAATGCACTTAGGTTTTTAAATTTATAGTAAAAAAATTAAGGGTTTCACACCACAACAAAAACCACCATCCCCATCATTATCATTGTTAAGATTGTTTTTATATATTTTATTGCTACTAAATCATTATAAATGTTGTATATCCTCCCTCTCCTATTCCTCTAATGGCTTAAAATTTAATGTGGTCTTGCCTCAAAATTAAACCATTTTTGTTGAAAACTAATGGCGTCAATACTTTAAGGTGCAAAAACAGTGCCAACCAGTTCATAATTACTAGTTAATTTCAAATTCACTTTGTCAACTGTCAGATCACTCAGCACAAATGGGCACATCCTTTTATGCATCCTGTTGATGTTGAGGGTCTTGGTTTGCATGACTATTATGAGGTAAAGCTCATTGCTTGTTTCAAAATTTTCTGATTGGCTATCTTTCTCATATATAGGAAGGCACATATTTTGTGCTTTCATTAGCCTTTATATTTGATGTACTCTTTTTTTGTGCTTTAGAAATTTACTATACTATTTTTTTTTCCTTGATAAACATATATACAAGATATACGCCTATGCTTATAAAGGCTGACGTAGTGAGTTAGCATGAAAACAAAGGCTGGTACTCGATAGAGCCTTTAAGATTGATAACCAAGTTTCAAACTAGAAACTTGCACTCAAAATTTGAGAGAAAATATAATATTATTCAATAATTTAAAAGAAATAAGTTTTCTAATAACTAAGCCTAAGGGTGTTATTTATAATAGCTTAATCCTACTTGACCTAAATTTAGAGTGCCAGTAAAATAAATTAAAATAAGGAATTATTCTACCCTAGACTTCTTTGAAGTACAAGAAAAGTAAATTCCTAAACCAATGCTTGCTTGTTGTCCAAGTAAATTAAAATAAAAAGAATTTTCTATTATTCCTATAATTCCTAATAAGTTTCCCAACTAAATAAAAAAAATACTAAATGCTAAAATTACTTGTTAGACTATCTACGTCAAAGGCCTCTCATTCATGGTTCATACATTGTTAAATTCTGATTATTTAATTTATTTATTCTTTAATGTGTATTTTAACTAATATATCATAGGGTTGTGGACGTTAGGTTATTCAGAAGCCTATGGACTTTGGTACAATAAAAAGTAAGATGGAAGCTAAGGATGGTACCGGCTACAATAATGTACGTGAAATTTATGCTGATGTTAGATTGGTTTTCAAGAACGCAATGAAATACAATGATGAAAGACACGATGTCCATATAATGGCCAAAACTTTATTGGAAAAATTTGAGGAGAAGTGGCTACAACTTTTGCCTAAAGTTGCTGAAGAGGTAAGCTACTATCTGGGCAAGAGTAACTTTCACTGGTAAATAGATGATAATTTATCTGAACTTGTTGTTTATCAGTAGTTTTTGTCTTTTAGCATGATGTTATAGAATCATACTGCTTCATGAGTGTTGCATGTCAGTTCACTCGCTTAAGGTTACTTGCAGGAGAAAAGACAGGTTGAGGAGGAAGCAAAGTCACAGCTAGATATGAAGCTGGCACAAGAGGCAGCTCATGCTAACATGGCCAGAGAGTTGAGCAATGAAGTATGTAAAACGTTATGAGCCTCTTACATGGCATATATAAATTGGAAGAATGCTTCTAACCTTTATTTTTGTTTTTACACTAATCCTCATTTATCAACTAAAGGAATGTCAACTCAAATTTTATTGTTCGCGTAAGATGCTCTGAACAATAGAATTTTCAATTCTTTCAGCTTTGTGAGGTTGATTTGCAATTGGAGAAACTCAGACAGATGGTCATCCAGAGATGCAGGTTTGTTTAAAGATAAGTAATTGTCTGGATTTTGATGTATTTGAAAAAATTTACAAATATCATCAATTGGTTTGCATCAGGATTAGAGTTAGATGGATATGGCTTTACAATTCATATGGTAAAGACTATTCTGTCGACATGAATTTGAGATTGGTTTGACTTCCTTTTAACAGTGATTACTAGTATGTAGCATTTTATGTGGCAGTGGACAGAGATAGAGAGTTAATCATCTATTTCGTTTTCAACCAACTATACTTTCTGGCTCTCAATTTCATTTTTTGGTGATGGTGTGGTAGATTATGGTGAAATAGTTAACCATCTGTTTCATTTTTAACCAACCATACGTCTCTCATTTCTTAATTGCATTTTATGGTAATAGTGTGGTAAATTATGGTACATTATTAAGTTTTTGGTAGAGGTACCATAATTCTGATATTGTTGATAGAATAGAGATCACATTTTGGTTATTGGCCAAAGAAAGAAGAGGATCACATCTTGGTTGGCAAATTTCATTGAATATCTGCCAAAAGTAATTCTTGCATGCTTTTCTGTCTAAATGATGTGTACTGTTTTCATGCCTGACCATTTGAGTTTGTATTTTAAATTCTTTGAGACCTTTTAGCAATAAATGCTAACTATATATGGATCATCATATAGAAAAATGTCCACTGAAGAGAAAAAGAAACTTGGGACGGCTCTCACCCGATTGTCGCCTGAAGATCTTAGTAAGGCTCTGGAGATAGTTGCTGAGAACAATCCTGGCTTTCAACCAACAGCCCAAGAGGTGGATCTTGACATAGATGCCCAGGTAATTGCTTAGGTTCCAATAACGTGTTTTTACTTCATCTTTTGTATTTAGACTACTATATTCTTGTAAGGCTGCAGCCATTGAGGCATATGCCCATCTCTTTTGACTGCACAGAGTGAATTAACATTGTGGAGGTTAAAGGTTTTTGTTCAAGATAAACTAAAACTAGCTGGAAAGTGCTCTGAAGATGTGGATTGCAACAACATAA